TCTCCATTTACAAAAACATGTACTAACATCTATTTATGTTGCACAATTGGGTACCTAAGGGGACTAGAATGGGGGTCAAGATCAAGCTGCCTTGGGGAACAAAGACCCTTGAATGGATCAACATACCCAACTGGGAGGCCTAAGGAAGCTAAAGTTGTCGATAAAATTTTGAGTAGAATAAAGAAACCGGTTTATCTGCTCGACGTCACAACCTTGTCACAGTTGAGAAAAGATGGGCACCCGTCGAGATACAGCACAGACCGTAGTGGTAACGACTGCAGCCACTGGTGCATTCCTGGCTTGCCTGACACTTGGAATCAACTTCTCTATGCAGCCATTATTTGAGGGGATTAACAACATGCATGCATACATATATTCATACCAATACCATGTTGAAATTTTCTCCCATTTTATTCAATAAATGTTCTTCTTCTTGATGAGTAGATCATAACTTAGTGCAAAACAACTATCTATTGGTGATGAAATGTCAAGTTTGTGAGTATTATCCTCATCCTTCATAATCATACATGTGAAAATCTTGTGTTTTCAACTTACAATTACTATTTTTAACACTATAAAATACTTGACAGACTCAAATCACAAATATATTCTATAATACTTGACAGGAATCACAAATATATTCTATGTTCTAGTAATTTTTATATATGTTATCGATTTTTCATATATGGTATATATCAAATTGATCTTCTATTGACGAATTTGGATTAAACATTCATATTGCATATATAATATGTATATATATGTTTACAAGAAGAAATTGTCTAATTATGATGAGGGCACAAGCCAAGAACTAATAGTCAACTAATTGAAATTTAATTTAAACAAGAAGATAAGGCACGTGACAAAACTTAGCCTGAAAGTCCGAGTGCTTTATTTTTTTTCAAAAACAAAAAAAATTAAGTGGACAAAAATAAAATTAAAAAAAAAAAAGAGTGGACCAAAACAAAACAGCCGTATTCTCAGAATACGTTTTCTTAAAAAAAAATTAATCAAGAAAACGTATTCCGAGAATACGTTTTAAAAAAAAAAAGGTAAAATGTATTTTTTTTTTAAAAAAACGTTTAAAAAAAATAGGCAAATAATAATTAAAATGTATTTTTTATAAATCGTATTTTGAAAATACGTTTCACGAAAAAAATATTTTTTAAAAAAAAATAATTTTTTGTTAAACCGTATTCTGAGAATACGTTTTACAATTAAACTGTCGGTAAATATATTCTCAGAATACGTTTTTCACGTTTAATATTAGAAAAAAAAATCTCTTCCTCTCCATTTCATTCACGAACAGAAACCAAAAAAAAAAGAGAAGGAGAAAGTTCTTTGTGAAAAAAAAAAAAAAAAACTCGATCCAATCTTCATCTCGGTGTGAACCGACAATACCGGCACGAGTCTCATTTCCGGTTAATTCATTCGTACTATGTATATTGTCTTATCTTTACTTTTTACATTATTTGAAATTTTTTGGAGATTGAGAATTGGTATAATATGTTTGAATGTGGTTGT